AGTTTATCAGTAATCCTAAAAAAATAACACTGCCAAACACACATGCTAGAAAAGAACAACTTACTTACACATAGTAAGAAATGGTTATAAACACTGAAACAGAAGTGAAACAAGTAATAGGAAAGAGGAGAAATAAAAAGCGATACTTATCCTTTGCCGGTGTCCCCGCCCCTTGGAGTCGCACGGTAGAGTCGATGGTCTTTACACTCTTCGGTCTTCACACGAGGAGGCCTTCATGCGACGGCTGCCGCGGGTAAACTAAGCTTTTTTATACCCGTCTAACAAAATACTAAATTAATTCAGCTGGACATACTTTCCTTATTTTCTCCGCAACAAATGGCCAAGCAAGCGCAGACACTGACAAGATACGCGATACAGAACGAGACCAAACGCGATATCAGCACGTCTCCACACAGTAAACAAAACAAGCGTTTTTCCAGTCGGAAAAACTTTTACACTGGGGTTTCCTTTTCATTTTTAAACTTCATTTTCTTTCAGAAGTACAAATGCAGCATTCTGGTGTCTCTTTGAGCAGCCCCTGATCTTCCAGAAAACCCCGAAAAGAAGCAATCAGACCCTTTGTGGATGCCACAGCAAAGAAAGAAGCGATACAACACAAGAAACAAAGCATTAGGAGAACATCATAAGAGCAGTGTGTTAAACAACACAAGATGTGGAAGTCGGTGGTTTAAAAGTACAGTCTGAACTGGCGCTCTGAGGAATTTGTCTTAACAAAGCACAGTTTATCTACTTCCATTTTAGAATTCATAATCACGCTGTCTACCGGTTGAATCACAGATATCTGTTTTATCCGTTTCATTATTTTAAAAAAAAGTTCTTAACATACAGTGTACCACCAGCAGGCAATTGCTTTGTTTTATATAAATTATTGAATTCATCTTCATAAACTATACATTTTATAACCAATACTCAGTAGTGAAAATAATACAGCAAAAAGCAGAAGGAAAAAGATTTTTGCACAAGAGACATGGTTATGTTTCCAGCTTCTCTGTGATTAGATCATTATAAGCCACTAAAGTAAAAAGTTTACAGTCCAAGGATCCAGTCTTAATGAATGTCCCTGCTCTCATTGTGCACAATTTATCACTACCTTATTCTGAAGGGAACAAAAACAGTTGTTTTATAGTCCTAATGACTTTCTTTAAAATCCATACATAACCAAGGCCGTGCAGATGAAATGAATTATGTGAAAGATACAGTGACTTTCTTTCTTCTCCGGAACACACAAAAAAACATATTCTGGAGATTTTTTTAAATAGTTTTGTGTATAAAATGAAAATCAGTGGTATCAAAAATAACTTTACTGAGGGAAAAAACATTCTACAAAATATATTTTTTGTGTTCTCCACAAGAAAGTCAGTCGTACAGGTTTGGAACAACTGGAAGCTACTGTGCAGTTACTATAGTGTTCTTGGCACATTAATATTTTGTTCAGGGTGGTTCTGATTGTTTATCGGTCCAAGTCAAAAGCATCAAACCTTTAAGTCTCAAGATATTCTGGCACCTCAGGTTCTTCTTTCAGTTTAAAAGATTTTATCATCTGAACAACAAAAAAACAAAACAAACAAAAAAAACACTCCTCAACAACCCACATGATTTGAAATGTTTTTAGCACAATATGCGTCAAACATCAATGTTTAATACTTATGGTTAGGGCTTTGTTCAACTCATAAGCATGAGCCTTAAAGCCTTAACAAAAAACATTCATAATATACATTTACCATTATACCATTAATAATTTTTTCTTTTTATGATGCAATCAAAACCAAATGGATGTTTCACACTGAATATTCTGTTTCACTCTGAAATATTACAGTAAAAGCATTGCAAACGCTTCACGTTATCTACAAAACAGCATTATGCACTCCAAAGTTCTCCCGAAAACAAAAGTTTTGTTGTCAAAGTATATCTCATAGACTTATCGAATCATATTTTGTTTTGTTCTTGGAGAACACGGGCCGAAAGCTGGACAGGGGATTTGCGGCGCATCTACCTGCACTGTCATTGTTAATCTTCTGATGCTTTTCTGACTATGGAAGTTAGGGGTTTTGATTGGCTGGTTTGTATTGGCTGACAGCTTGTCTCTAGCGCATTTGGCACTGCTCAACAGACGCCGTGCTGCTCTACTACTGACGGCCTGTTCAGCGCAGCATCTGTTCGCAAACTCTAATGATAATCAAGCAACTGTGCCATAACTCAATTTTATGTTACCTTGTCCCAGCTCCCAGCATTCCTAAAATATATTATTTAAAGTGGAAGCAATGGAGGACTCAATTAAAGCGTGCATGCATGTCACTGGGACATATTTAACGCTATGAAGTCATAAAGAGAGGATGCGGTTCCAAAAAGATGTGTTCAACCATGTTCATGTGTCCTTCCGACCTTGTTCACGGAAAAGGTCACTGACTAATGTGTTTTCTTACCCTCGCAGACGAGATTTATTCAGCTGAAAACTGCACTCACTTTAGCTTAATTTGACCAAGACGGTTCCACACAAATAAAATCATCCAGCGACTTAACTGCCAGCTTTTGTAGGCCGATGTCAGATCATGCGCGTGCCATAATTTATAACCCGAGTGAATGGACATTAACGATGAGCTGCGGACTGGACTGTGCCGGCTCCCACAATGAAACTCAAACAATAAGGGCAGATGATGAAGGCACATAAAGGTACATTTTCTAAAATGCAAGGTAAGAAAATTGAATTTACTGCACCAAAATAGTGTCATTCAGTACTTACTGTAGTAGCCGTACAAAACTGTGTTTTCGATCTGCTGCCGGGTCTCATTGCTTGCCGCCCATTCCTGGATTTATAAAAAACAACAACGTCAGAAGAAAAGTATAAAATACACTGGCATACATTCAATCAAATCATGAAATATTTTAATTCTTAAGATTCTCTAGGACTATCCGTTGATTAAAAATTCTTAATCAAATGAATTACATTACTGCTGATTGATTTATCACAATTAATAGAATATAAAATATCTGAGCTTGTTTTAAAATTTTATAGAATTCAAAATATTTTATATTACTGTTGCAGACATAAAACATCATTAATGATTTCCATATCATTAAACAGGTGTTTTATGATTATGAGGTGTATAGCACACCTTATGAGGTGTATATTATTAATTTACTACATTTGCATATAGTAAATGAGTAATACTATAATAATACTAATAATACTAAATTATGTTAAATTGACTGCTCCATAAGACAATAAGAGATCCCCCTTCACATTGCAAAGCGCTTTGAGTGTCTAGAAAAGTGCTATATAAATGCAACAAATTATTATTATTATTATTAATACAGTACAATATATGATTCAGGATATGTATCTCAAAGGATAAAAACATGACCAACAAATATACTGCTCTATACAGTGAGGTAAAACATGATTTTTATGACAGGACTTCAAATGGTGCCATGGGACAGTGATGATACAAAGAAGTGGCTCTCCAAGCGCAGTGTGTTTTTTATTCCCAATGTGTCAGAGATTCCATCAGAAACGTGACCTGACACTTTGATGACTCACAGGTTCTCGGAGTAGATCCAAATGCCAGAGAGAATTGCTGTCTGCCTTGCCGCAGTAAATCACTCTCTCTCTCTCCCTCTCTCTGTCTCGATGAACTCCATCTAGCATTCATAACTCAACGTTTCATCATGCCAAAAGAGCAAACCCATAATTGCTACACGAGCACTAGAAAAACATAATTCCATTGTTGGATACTTGCAGTCAGCCTTTATGAATCTAAACAGGTCGAGACATAATGAGATATTTCACAAATATCACAAATATATGTTGACCTATGAATTTCAATGACGTTGCCAATTACTTGTGATCACTGAAGAATCATTTCATAAAGATCACACTCACAAAGAGATTTCTAGCTGTAATAGCTGACATTTTTTTATAGAAATTTCAAGTTAATTTTCCAGCTTTCCAAGCATGTAAATAACTATTTTAAACTTCCCTGATATTTCACAACCATGGGCAACCAGAAAATGTAATTATTATATTTTCTCATCATGGTATTTCTGTTTATATCTAATATAAATAAATAAACATATACACTAATGTAAGTTTAGTAATGTATGCATATATTTCAGTAAGATTTTTTAATGTTTTTGAAAGATGTCTCTTAAGGCCCGTTCACACCAAGCACGATAACTATACAGATAACGATAAAGATATAGTTCTAAAAATCGTTCTCAATATTAAAGAATAGCAGAGTCCACCCCACAACTATAACGATACAGAGGAACGATATTGTTGTGATCACTTTCAAAATTATTTTTTTCCAGCTGATGAAAGATAAAACACTGACAGCCAATCAGAATCCATCCTGCTGTAACGAGCTCAAGAATTTAAAGCGGCAGACGCATGTGCGCTTAGAATAAACAGACGATATCGTTCGCCGGTGTGGACGCTTAATATCGTTATCTTTATCGTTGTCGTTCTTGGTGTGAACGGGGCTTTACACATACCAAGGCTGCATTTATTTGATCAAAAATACAGTAAAAACTGTAATTTTGTGAAATATTATTGTAATACGAAATAACATTTTTCTTTCAATATATTTTAAAATGTAATTTATTCCTATTATGCAAAGCTGAATTTTCAGCATCATTACTCCAGTCTTCAGTGTCACATGATCTTTCAGAAGTCATTCTAATATGCTGATTTGGTGCTCATGTAACATTTTTTTTATAATTCTTAATATTGAAGACAGTTGTGCTGCTTAATATTTTTGTCGTAATCATGGTACCAAGAAAGTTCGAAAGAACAGCATTTTTATGAAATAAAAAATGTTTTGTAACAAATTAACATCTTTGTAACACTATACATATCTTCATTGTCACTTTTGATCAATTTAATGCATGCTTGCTGAAGAAATAAATACATTTCTTTAAAAAAAAAACTCTTTCTGACCACAAACTTTTAAATTGGTAGTGTGGCTAAAAATTGTCACTGCATCAGATAACAAATGACCAGATAATTTTACATACAGTAACACGAAGTTTAAAAATTATATTAGTTTATTTATTTACAATAAAGCCTTTAAAATAAATCCCAAGTCCAATATGCTTCCTTAATAGAAGGATACTGGCTATTCAAAAAAGAAAAAAGGGAGAAAGGGGACGACAGTATCTCACTAGAAAATGAGTCAACACACTAAACAAAACTGGGATTTTTTAAATGTCCAAATACGTCTTGAGGCCTCTGTAGGTGCCACAAATCTGTCTCCTGGTTTAAGCATATTAGCTTTGTGGGTTTCTAAAGGACACCCACAGAATAACAAAGATCTGCGGAACAAAACAAGCCTGATTTAACAACAATTTATCAAGAAAACTCTAGCACTGCGACAAGTTTAGCATTTGAGAGTGCATCCTCATTAGCCAAACCCAGGCCTGTCAATCATTGCTGTAATCTCTTTAGGGCAGAGAAACAGAAATAAACCTACAGAGTCCTACGTGCACAGGCTGCATTAAGAAGATGTTTAGTTGGGAAGGTTCCTCTACCCATTAAGCCAGCTTCCTCGACTGGAGGAAGAGATACATTTGATCGTCACATCAGAAAAACGGATTACCGGAAGGCCGGAGCCAAGGAGATCGCTGCCATAATCTTACGTGTTTATCCAAGACTTGATGGCTCCTTCCATCTCAACCTCCTACAACAAAAAGCACCTGTCTGCCTGATTTATTATGTGACGTGAATCACAGCAAGCTTCAGAACGATTATCAAACGACATTTTCCCACCCATTTGGGTGAGCGTATTTCATCAGAATCTGCTGTAATTTTCCTAGAACAGTTAGAATAAATACTAGGGATGCACGATATATCGGCCACCATATCGGTATCGGCCGATAAGTGCTCATTTTTTCTGTTATCGGTATCGGCCTGATAAGAAAATTTGGCCGATATCTTAAAGCCGATAAATAATGCATTATTTCCTTCAGAGACACTTCAGATGCGCGCTGTTCGTTTGCAGCCTTTTGTGCAATTGTACGTTGTAATATTGTGTTTATTTGATGTATATCTGATGTATCTCATATATGCACTCTATAACAAGGGCAAACAAGTTTTATACAAGTCGATAGCAAAATTTTGCATTTCTGGGATATTCTTGGCCTGTATAGCTCGGGTAAGGGTAAAGAATTGTCGCAAGTTTCCAGATGAATAGATTTTGAGCCGCAAATAAATGTAAAGAGATTCACAAATATTAAACAAATTCACAAATAAATAGAATGAGATCCACAAATAGAAAGAGTGTATTCAGGCAAAGTTGTGTTTGCGACATAAAAACATATTTGTGGATTTATTTGAATATCTTATTTTTTATTCTTTTATCATTTTAATATATTTAATATTTGTGATTCTCTTTATGTTTATTTGTGGCTCAAAATCAATTTAATTATCTGGAAACATGCAACAATTTTAACCCCACATTAGGTCTTACTTACATAAATAAAAACACAACTGTACTCACAAGTTGCACAATTTGAGATAGTATTTATATTCGTTGCACAAATATTTTCGTTGCATTTGCGACTGAAAACTACTGCGTGCGACTATGAAATTTATTTTAGGAGCACCAGTGCGACTGACCCGATCATCATCATACTTGTGATTGTGCTCAGGGGAGCTTCAAAGGTTTCTGCGTGTTTTTGCAGCGTTGAGTAATGTATCACAGACATATCTCACGAATCCTTTCATAAGCAAAGTGTAGACAGGGTGTAAATAAGAGATTCATCGCGCAGTGTAGAGCTTCGTTGATTATAAATGTGAGATTGCGATGAACTAAGATGAGTGACAGCTTTGAATGATTTTTAAGGGAGTTTGTAAATGTGATACTGATTTAATACAATACAATTCAATAAACAAGAAGATAATATAAAGTGACTTACATTGTCTGACTATAACACTATTGTCTGATTTTGCTCTATTTCGTTGTCGAAAATAGTTTAAAACAAAGACACAGCGGAGCCGCTGCGCATCTCCATTCAAACACAGCGGTGTTTCGTTTATGATTTAACGGGGTTTTTTAAACGAATCTAGTGAGTCAGTGATTCATGATTACCCATTCATAAAGTCACTTGATTCATTCTTGAATGAATTAGCCATTCGAATGAATCAATTGAATGAATGATTCAGTGATAAAATCAGTGACTTGCCGCCACCTGCTGGCAGTTTTAGTTTCATTTTTAAAGTATCTTTTCAGTTATTTAAATCATTTAATATTTCTATATTCAAAATTGTATATTTAAAACATTAATATCATCATGGATTTAATTGCACTCATTCCACTTCTGAACCTCATTAAATGTCTGAAAGTACACCAAGCCACTTTTGTGTTCTTCTGTGCCACCTCTACAAATTAATTTTGTTAATACTGATTTCATTTGATTTTTAACTTGTTTCTTATTCTACTCATATTCTGTTGTTTTAATTACCATTTTTAAAAAGCTTATAAAATATAATTTAAGAATTTGACAAAAGATGACATAATTTTAATAAAGTTAGAGGAGTCAAATATCACCTCGTAATGGGAAGGCTACTTTTTGATAACATTTTGGATTATTGATTAGAAGGTGCTCCTAAAATTTTGAACGTGCTCCTAAATTTTTTAAGTTAGGAGCACAAGTGCTCCTAAAAAGAAAAGTAAGCGTCGAGCCCTGCTATATAGGGCTTTTAAAACTTAATATAATTAAGAAATAATTAACTCTAGGCATTTTTTATGCCTGGATTATCGTGATTTATATTTTACACTACGCATAACAATTAACAACAATTAATTAATCCAGGGTATTTAAAAATTGACGTTTCTTACTGTACAGTACATTCCTAACGGTACTTGCATATTTGTGCTGTCATTGATTGTATGAATGAAACGTGTGATCTGTTTACAAAACGGCTCTAGTATTGCACATTTTGGTATTATCAAGTACTATCAGGACTTTTCAGATTATAATGGTAAGAATAAAACATTTTCTGCTTCACTCCAATTCACATAACCTCTGTGTATAGTGCTGATCTATTCACTACATTACACTACAGTGCTCTATGACTCAAGACAATCTATGAATTTTAAAGTGTTTTAAGGAAGGGTGGTACAAAAAGATCAGCAGCTTCATCAGAGATCCAATTAACCCGACAGAGTCACTGAGAATCTCTTTAGGTTAACCTCCTCCGCCTAGTCAGATGATCGCTGATATGATCAAGCAAGTCTGCATGTCTTCTTCAGAACACTTCAAAACCCTCAACTTCCAATTAACGAAATGAAACCAGTAATGAATCCCATCTAATTCTGATAAAGTTATATCTAGTCTTGACCTCTACAAGCCCTTTTTAACAATCCTAGGGCTGATCACCATCTCAAATGAAAACCAGGCCAGCAATCTCAATTTATTCTGGACAACACACACTTGAGTAGTGATTTACACTGCCTGGTGAATATACTGCTGGTGTGTTCTGTGATATTTCTAATGTATTTATTTATAGATCAGCCATATCTGCGGACAACTGTTGATAGTCAAAACATGTTTGACTATTAAACAATGGAAATAACCTCATATCTCACCCAAATCTACACAACAATCCATGTGTTTTGCAAAGACATCCGTACATTCATAGTACCGTAATGTAATCGAATACAAATACCGGAATTAAAAGTCTCAGGCCACAGTTAGTGCAAAAATTTAAATACTGGATTCATTTCTTCAACCTCAAGTTGTTGTAAACCCCTATGATTTTCATTTTAGAGAAGATATTATGCAGAGGTGCTTTTCCTATTCAAAAAGTAAATGAAAGGCAGACACTGTTGTGATCCAGATTGAAAAAAGGCATCTTAAGACATCTATATGGAGCCATACTATAGAACTGTTTAAGTTTCGTCATAACTAGAATATCTCATTTGTGCACATTTTCAAATTGCCTTTAGTTCTAATATATTGCAAACGAGTTTGAATATGTGGAAGTTCTAATTAGATTTGAGAGCTACAGAAAAGTGCCAAATTAACAGTGAATAACAGCTTAAATTTCAGTCTGCCATTTGACTTCAGAACACTTGCAAAAGTTGTCTAAATCAGTGTTTCCCAACAAGGGTGCCGTCTATCGAGAGCAGGGGTGCCGTGTAAAAAATATTTTTTAAATATTTTTAAATTGCTAAAATGTTCAAAAAAGCATAATATAATATAATATCCATTTATGATGTCGCCAATAATTAGATGCACCGAAATTTCGGCTGCCGAATATTAGTTCACCGCTCAGGTTTCACTATCACGTGGTGTGACGCTCTGCGTATTATCCCGCTCTGTGCGTGTGCTCCGCTCAGTCGCTCCACTCGTATACCGTTCATGCGAATTGGAACAGCAAAGTCCACTCACAAATTGAGCCGACAGGAAACATCTATGTAGTACATTATTGTTTCTGTCTGCAATAGTGTGGTATATGGGCAACTCTGGTAACGCTGCCCTCTCATTCATTGATCTGCTAACCGCTATGTTATGCTCGCATGTTCTGATAATAATAGCTTTCTAGGACTAAACATTATTTGGATAATTGGTAAAAAAAAAAAAAAGTTAAATATCTTAACCCTACTGTTAGACCTACCTGAAAAACTAAAAAGCTATTTATTTCATTCGAAGGCCTGTCGTCATTTTTTTATTTGTGCTATCATTATTCATTTCTTTATTTGTTCTTATTTTATTACTGACTGCTTACTTGTCATTTTTTATTCAATTCAAAGTTTGAAATCAAGCTATCTCGTGCTACTGCACCAAAATTACCCCACTGTAAAATTTAAAAAATACCGAGTGAGCAAACATTTGTGAGATTGCTAGTTATAATGGTAATTAAATAATGTTTACATATGTATAAAAGCCTAAATTAAAATCTGTCATATAAATTGGTCTCTTCATTAGAAATTAGCCTACTGATTGCCACCATTGATGGACACATTTTTTAAATAATATTAAAAATATCTGTATGACATTATATTCTGCAGTTCTTCCCTGTTGTACCGAATATCTATACTTTTCAAATGATCACATCGAAGTTAGAAATTCAAATATTGTGACAAAATTTATTTTGTAGGGTGCCACAAGTTTGTTAAAATTTCCAAAGGGTGCCGCGACTAAAAAAAGGTTGGGGAAACACTGGTCTAAATTACTTTTGGTAAGGGTACTTTTTCCATTTTACAAATTGACAGGCTCAGGTCATAATGTGCTTTCATTGTATGCAGGAACCAAGTTACACGGAAGTTCTAAGTGAAGCACTCATTAAAGATCTCATGTCAGAGGAGGTAATTCTACGCTTAATTATTCATTATCCGTAAGGAAGAATGGTGGGCCCGTGGTCTCATTAATTATGCCATTCAGTTGCCATAGTAACCACTGTCTCATTAGACCATTTGAGTCTCAAAGTAAAAGACAGACGTGCTCAATTCAATCTGTGAACTCAAACCTGACGTATTGATCTCTCTTCTTATTGCATTTGATTGAATAATGGGATGTTTTAGGAAAGAAATGCCATTGTTTTCACAAGTGGTGAGAGTAAACTACCAATAGCAATAAGACTCATTCCAGACATCCAAATCACTTATTGTGAAGAGCTCTCAGTCTCTTATAAATTACTTTGCTTATGAACAATGAAAAAATGAACAATGGATCAAGAATATGGATAATGGAGCTTCAGGGTTGAATCAAGCACAGATCTGAGTTTGAACAACGAACAACCTTTCTGTACAGGAATATGGTTACCTTGTAAGTGCCATTGGGGTACTTCATGAAGGACACTAGGAAGATATCAACAGGAAGCAGGGCTGATGTGATGAGCGCAATGGCCAGAGCGCATATCGCAGTGATGGTGGAGATAACCTCGCTCTCCTGCCGGCTCTGATATTTCCGAATATAAACCCAGCAGAAGGCCAAGATGACCTGAAGATACAGGGGACACTTTGAGATTTGCATCAAAATAATCCATTTAAATTAGTCTCATGATTTCTGAACCTAAAGGCTTTGGATTAAATGCTTCAAATTAGTTTTGTATACAAACATTAATTCTGTCTATGTACAAATCTCTTGTGCAAAAACGAATTTTATTTATTTATTTTATTATTTTTGGACCAGAGAGCAGGTAAGAATATTAGAGATATCAGCTAGTCATAAATGTATCATTCACATGTATATCATTAAATAACAAAAAACAGAAAAAAACATTTTTATAATGATACACAATTTCACAAAGAGTAACCAAATAAAATTAAAAAGTAAATCCCCACCAACCCATATGTCAAGCCCTGTTCATAATCACAAACATACAAAAACGAAAGCTGGCTTTTTTTAAGTGTTACAAAGAAAATGTACAAGAGGCCTGATATTTGTGATCATTTGTAATAATTGTGTTAAAGTTGCGTGACACTATTTTAACAGGCCTAAATCTCTCTGGTGTCAAACCGATGTGTGTTATACTTATATCATACAGCTGGCCTTTTCAGACTTTAAAGGCCATACAAGTGCTATTAAGATTCTGTATTGCACTTCTGATCTAGCAGCCAATAGTTCCTCTGTTAGAAAGAAGAGGAAAGACCTGCCTACAGATTTAGAAGCCTCTGAGACAGCTGTCTCTGAAAAGCATTACGTTGTATCTCATTAAACACAAAACAAAAAAACTAATAGAGTACAACTTTAAAGAGGAACTTGTTTCAGAGTGAAAGGTCGTATTCCAAACACATCCACTAGAAGCTCTCAGGACGCAGCTAAAATGAGCTTGTGATTACGGGATGCTGTTTTCAGACAGGATTAATTAAGAGCCCTGTGCGTATTAGATTCTGCCTTGGTCAGATAATGACCCAACGCTCTGCATTTAAATCAGGATGCGCCGAACCAATTATATAACAGGAAATACTGCTCTCTTTGCACTTGTTAAACTTGAGCAGGATGCACTTTAGTTAGAAAATGAAGACTCTGGCGGCACTTCAATTAAACACCTCGACCAGGTAGAATAAAAACAAATTACATATTTACAGGTGATGTATATCTGTACCACTAAATTGAATTGCAAAAATAATAAAAGTTTCCTGAACACTCCCCTCATCAGCCATTGGTCACCAAACAGATAGTCCCGCCTCAAACAAACAAAGCTATTAATAACAGTACCAGAGTAGCTGTGTTTCTATTTTTTGGGGGAAGCAACCTACAATTACTTATCAATGTATACCATACAAACAATCACTTGTGGCTTAGATATTTGTGACCCACATAATTATGGCAATAAAATGAAATACATTTGCTTACACGCACTTGTACTTGAATCTAAACTGCATGCTATTATTGAAATTTGAGTGTCTATTTCTTCGTATTTTAGTAAAACAGTTCAGTGTGACACTTCAGTAAAAGTCTATATATATACCGTAACTGTAAACATCAACAGGTTTATGTGTTGAACATAAAATAATAACATTTTCTGAACACTCCCCTCATCAGCCATTGGTCACCAAACAGATAGTCCCGCCTCAAACAAACAAAGCTATTAATAACAGTACCAGAGCAGCTGTGTTTCTATTTTTGGGGGGGAGCAACCTACAATTACTTATCAATGTATATTAATACCTTCATATCTGAAATATGTCTATATCTATGAACCATACAAACAATCACTTGTGGCTTAGATATTTGTGACCCACATAATTATGGCAATACAATTAAATAATACACTTGCTTACATGCACTTGTACTTGACTCTAAACTGCACGGTATTATTGAAATTTGAGGGTCTATTTCTTCGTACTTTAGTAAAACGGTTCAGTGTGACAATTCAGTAAAAGTCTATAAATATACCGTAACTGTAAACATCAACAGGTTTATGATATTACGTATATAACCAAAATAATTAGATAGGTCTATTGTGTGCTATCCGTTACTAGTACAAAGATACATTTCGAGCAGGATAACACGTGACAGAATATACACGGGAACACCGCGTCTAACAACGTAATACTAGTAAATACAACTTCTAATGGATAATTCATGTATCTCACCAGTAAAACAATAGTGAAAATAGACCACCCGAGCACAGATTCAGAGAGTAACGCTACAGGCGTCGCCATGACTGCTTCACTTCCTGCAACACAGCTGACGCTCGCCATGTGACCGGCGACGTCACACAACGCATGGGTGTTGTAGTCTGGCTCAAACATAAAATAAACTACATTTTTATATTTTTGTATATTTTCTCTGGGATACTTTGAAGTATCTTGGCTTGACTAGATTCGATCATTTCGTGTTAGAGACGGAAGAACATTTTATAAATGCCGATGTAATAAATAAAAATGTCAATGTAATAAATAAATCAATTTAGTCACAGATTAAGACATTTCTGGATTTCATGAGTCGCATTAAATTGTTTTATTTGTGGGTGGGGGGGTATTGTCTTTTTCTTTTCTTTTCGTTTATTTTCATGTGATCTATTTTAATTTCTATTCCTTTACTTTTTTGATTCTGTGAGCTAAATGCACATTTGTTGAATTGTAGTTAAATGTGTATTTTTGCACTGGTTAAGGTTTTGCTATGAAAAGTAGTTTGAATAACTAATGATTTTGGAGGGCAAAATTTCAAATTATGCATTATGAGGTTTAATACTTATGAGTATTATGAGCAGTGTTGGGGGTAATACATTACAAGTAACGCGAGTTACGTAATCAGATTACTTTTTTCAAGTAACTAGTAAAGTAACGCATTACTTTTTAATTTACAAGAGAATATCTGAGTTACTTTTTCAAATAAGTAACGCAAGTTACTTTTTTTCCCCCCAATTTATTGACTGACAGCTCTCCTGTCCCCATGTTGAGAGAAATCGGATGTTACTGTAGTTCAAAATAAATATGAATATGCATGAATTCAGCTCACTCACTCACAAAAAAACACAGATTCAGTATTCCTTCAAATTAATAAAAATAATGCAACTCAGAATATGACGCAAACCTGCAATAATTAAATGTTAAACAACACAAATATTCTTTATGTATTTAATCCCATTCTATTAACCGATGTCTTTGCTTCTACCTTCGATGATCCAGTTCAACCGTACTAATAAGCAAAAATACTCTAGACAAACATTTGTGTGTCTTTGTTTATTGCTGAAGTGTGTTGAAATGTCTTCTTCTGCATTCAACTGTACGGACGTAAATTTACTTTCCCTTCAGCCTGAGGCTTATTCATTTCACTTTTGGTGTGAAAAGACTTTTATATTTGCCAAAAATATAACTTTTTTATTTTAAAAACAAACAAGCAAGCCCTTTTCAGATTTAAAAAGTAACGCAAAAGTAACGTAACGCATTACTTTCCATAAAAAGTAACTAAGTAACGTAATTAGTTACTTTTTTATGGAGTAACGCAATATTGTAATGCATTACTTTTAAAAGTAACTTTCCCCAACACTGATTATGAGTACTCTTATTATACTCTTATGAAACACATTATGATATATTAGTGGACTAGACTCTCAAGTAAAGAAAATATTGGCTTTCAAATAGAAACAGCAGGTTTCATGTGTTTTCCCTACCAAGACTCTGGCATTAATGTACAGCATTATTTTATTTTATTTACCTTCTAGAGTTGCCCAATTTTTTTTGACATCATTCTGTTTAGTGAACTCTGGTCAAGTCTGAGATGAATAAGTCCAAAAGTAAATACCTAAAGCAAAAATACAATTATGCACTAAAAAATAAATTATTGAGCTTGAAAATAACAATAATAATAATAATAATAATTATTATTATTATTATTATTATTTATCAAGCACATTTCATACACAATGTTAATTCAATGTGCTTAACATAAAAAGGATTTTAAAATAATCATAAAATAATTATACCATCAATAAGAAATAAAATCAACAGTAAAAAGTTATAAAAAATAATACAAAATAAAATAAAATAATAAAATATAATTAAAAACAAATAAAAAATAAAAGGGAATAATAAATAGATGACAAAACCACCTATGCTGTGAGTGATTCTTTGAGCTGACAGACATTTAAGAAATAAGAACATGGAAGAAAAAAAGGAGAATGTGAATTTCCAAAAACAAAATGACCATCTGTCTTGATTCTTGCCTCATGAAAAAGAAATTGCTTTCCAGATTTAAAGTTTAATCTCTTAAAATCCCTTAGCCCTTCTGCTGGGACAGTGTGCGAATGTTTTGACTGGAACTATTCATCCACACTCTTCTTATTTTTAATCTAGCCCAAGTGTCTCTGAAATAATTCATGATACTTGCTAAATTTTAATTTCACTTTCTTTATTTGAGATCCACCATATATGAATTCATAATCGAGTTGTCCTTGGTGATAACCAGTGAGCAAATCTGCAAGTGGTGGATCTTCTTCAAGTGCACCTGCTTGCCGACTTTTGACTGAGTGACACATTGGGAGCCATTAAGCCCTTAATGTAATCAAGACTATTTCCATCCCTTACACCTCAGAACCAATTACCTAATATTACCGACCTCCATTTAGTGCCAGCTTTTTGAACCTCTGAGTTCAATGACCACACAGATGATTGGCAGAGAGTCAGTGCTGTTCCAGAGATGGAGATCTCACTCTAGAGGTCATCCGCAGGTGAGCAGTGATTTGAAGCAGGACTCCACTGTATGCTTTTAAAGTACAACAAAGGAGTCAAGAAATACATAATCATTGTCATACATCTGGATTTTAAACAGACCACACAAAAACAATGTATGTCTAAACATACACACGGTGATCTATGATAGAAAGATTTTCCTATAATCAGTTTAAGGGCAAAACCACTTCACATTCTCTGAACAATGAATGTGTCTTTACTATAGATTAAGTGCAGAACCATAAATCATGTTAGAGTTTATTCCAAATAAAGCACAGACATCATCAATTATCCACACACGCACAAACAAACACCGGATGATAAGCCTATAACCAGCAATCTAAGATTTTCCTTTTGGCTGTGCTAACAGAAAATGTCTAGCTCAGCTTTTCTTTTCATTGAGATTCATCAAACATAATCTGCTTTCTGTCGCTATTTCTAATTAATTTTTTATCTCCTCAAATGGCTTGGCTGTACATCAGGAGAATGAATCCGGTTCGATTTAATGAGGATAATTACCAGTGTAAAAGGTGTAAATGAATAACCTTCTTCTCAGTGATAATCCACACCAAGAGCTGGATTCAAAAAAAAAAAAACTGACATTGCAGGACCACAGGAAAGGTGGGATTTTAGGCCTACCGAAATTAACAGGAGATTTGCTAAAGACTGCTTTAAATTTAATGTCATCCATACAAAATGTATAATGCAAGTGGAATACTTGTCCTTGCTTTGTTATGTACATCAGACCTCAGGCACTTTTAACAATTTATTTTAACAATTACATTCCGTTTGTTTTGTTTTTTTGAAGGTGAAGTGAGTAATTTCTGCGCCACTAGTGACACCAAATGGCGTTCGAACTGGGCTGCGTTCAGCCCCGACAAAACGGTGCAAAACGTTTTTTAAACGGAAACGGTGGTGCGTTGAACTCCCTGTTCTGATGACGCAAGAGTTGCAACTATGGCAGCTGAGAAGGCCATTCTTTGTGTTCTTTTTGAAGAATTTTCGGAGCCTGATGAAATCGGTATAAATACGTGTTTAATACTGCAAAATATGCTCGATGTTACAGTCACTGCCCTTGCCGTCCAGAATAAAAGAGAACATCCCAATCAAGTGAAGGGATTTGTGGAAACTGTGGTTCCTAATTACTGTGATCCAACATTTGCCTCGCATTTCAGGATGAACAGACAAACATTTCAGGTGAAGGACAATCCACTTCTTACTTCCAAGATTGTGTTATGATCTATATGACCTTATTATTTTTATTGTGAGTATTCGGCTTATCATTATTGCTGATCACTGTTGTTGTGCTATGATATTGTAATATTTACCATTATATAATCAGAGGAATATAGAAAAGTTTATGAAAGTGTCACTCCACAATACAATAGCAAAATATATAAATATGTATAGTATTTTTGTTACATTAATCAGTGTCAAGCACACCTTCCTAAGGTAAGGATATGGACCAGAAGACATTGCAATTACTAAATGATATTTAGACAGACTTAAAGATGTTCCAGATCTACTTGCGCTCTTATTATTTCAGTTATTTGCCTTTAATGTAAATAAACATGTGCAACAATATACTTGCTCTTGTGAATTTATTTTGATGTTAATTACTTTGTGCCAGCTGTCTCTTTAATACCGCGTGGTTTATGTACATGTTGCTGCTGACTGGGCTGACATTTTTGACACACCCTCCAAACAAGAGAAAACGTATCTCAAACTCGTTGCACACTGTTGCACACCGTTTTCAGGAAACATGTCGTTCAAACCGGAAACCGTAGCAAAACCTTGTGCACCGGTTTGAGCTTGAACTTGCCCCTGGTGTTCCCCCGAACACTTGCAACGTTGTTGATTGGTGAGACAAAATATATAACCCCACCCCCAAACTCATGCCATTGGTTAAGGCAGTGGTATTTTGTCGGACTCGGAGTGGTCTAAATTTTTAAGCAAACGGCACAGTGGAACCACAGTGTTAACTCGCCAAAAAACTAAAAGAAGAAGAAGAACCACGGTGTTACACTTAGTTAAACTCACGAATGGCAAAAATGTGGTTGTCTCTGCATTTAAGCTGGGATAAGAGAAAGTAGCCTATGTTATTTAGTCATGGGAGAAGCGAGGCTATTTGAATATTCGAATCGATTGAACTCATTGCTTTGCAAATGATTCACTGTTTCGAACTACTCGAATTGCCGCACTATGACATGTTGGTTCAAATCCATGGGTTAAAACTATAGAACTTGATTGAGTTAAGCTACAACCATACCTACATTTAATACTGGTTCGCTTATTAGCAAAAAAACAACTACTGTGAAAACCACTAAACATCTCAAAGGAAGCCTTGTTTGCTAAAATCACGTGACTTGTTTATGCGCTTTTTTGAAGCACTGATTCAAAACTAAATTTCAAAGAATCTGTGTTTCGAATACGGTCATATTAATGATACTGCATTCATGTCACAAAGCCAATAATGTCGCTAGCTGCATTGCTTGTTCCTGTGTATGTTGTTTTTGCTGCTCAGGTATCTGGACTTTATATAAACATGGCATC